TAATTTTGGCCATGGACCATGGACAAGAAGACCATTTCTTTTCCACAGGAATGAAGGAACAGAGCCCCAGGTTTTCAGGGGCAGATGAAAGGTGACCGCCACAGTGGAAGGCCAGCCAGAGCTGGCTGTCTTTTTCCTAAGACATACTCCTGCATACAGGAAATTGTTTAGGGAGAATACCAGCTTTGGCAATGGGCATCTGAACACAGACAGTTCTTTTCTATAGCAAGGAAAGCACATAGCCCCTTTGCTCCAGGAGCTGATGAGAAGCAGCCCTTGGCATTCCAACATCAGCCAGACCTGTCAGGTGGCCCCTGGCGAGCCAAGCCAGCCAGACCTGGTCCATGTTCCCTCGCTTCCATGGGGTCCCTTGCTTCCAGGTAGCCCTGAGGTGTCACAATGCCCCCTTGGTTACATGAGGCCCTGAAGGGTTGGAATGGTCTCCATGGTTCCATCAGGCCCCACAGAGTCATAATGGTCTCTGGGTCCATGAAGCCCCGTGGTGTCACCATGGCCCCTTGGTTCCATGGGCTCCAGTGGTGCCACAATGATCCCTTTGGTTCCATGAGGTGCCCACAGTGTCACAGTGATCTCCATGGGAAGGAAGAAACCGAGCCGCAGTGTGGCAGGGGAAGCCACCAGAGGCCAAGGCCAGATAGACTTGATGGTACTGGCAGATTTTGGCTGGGAGCAACCCTTGGATATAGGGAATTTTAGAGGTGGAATCCCAATTTTAGACATGGACACTTGTTGGAGGATGGTTCTTTCCAAAGGAAGGAAAGCACGGAATACCAGCGTTAGAGGGGCAGATGAAAGGCAGCCACCAGGGGCCAAGGGCAGCCAGACCTCTCTTTCCTGGTAGCTTTTGTCTGAAAGCAACCCTTGGATATAGGGAATTTGGGAGTTGGAAGCCCAATTCCCGCAATTTCTGCATAGATAAGGACAGTTCTTTTTTCCATAGGGAGGAAAGCACTGTTGTGTTCCGACGCTGCAAAGGGTGCTGCCCCAGGCCCCAGAGTCACAGACCTCAGGCAGACACCAATGACCAACAGGGAAAGGAAGGCAACAGGACAGGTCTTGGTTTAGAAAACCGAGGATTCTTCACTTTCCCAGGGACCAACACAAGAATCAAGGTGGTAGGGTCAAGACTTTTATATTACAGGGTAGGGGTTGAGTTTAGGATCAAGGTCCAATATTAAGAGGAGCAGGAAACTGCAAAGGGCTGGATCAAGGAGGACAATAAATAGAAAAAACTACAGTGGGGATATTGCAGCACAATTTAAGCCAATAAGGGTACAGAAAAAGAAGAACATTCTGGGGCCATTCCTCATTTGATCAGATAGGGTGGAGTGTCTTTCCCAGGCTTTCAGGGGCACACCCCACAGCGTGGAGGGGTGGAATCTTCTTTAAGTCACCCTCTCGCCAGATGCTGTGTCTGGGTAAAATTCCCACCTCATTGGGCAGGGGCACTCTGCAACTTTGGTGCCATTATTTCTTTCTCTGGCTGTTTTACACAATGAAATAAAACTCCAGCATCTGTGGAACCACCCTTCAATCCCTCTCAGGCTACTCTTGTTCTGTCCTCAGTCTGCACATAACTGAGCCCAGAGCCTGCAGCCTATACCTGCTGGTTATGTGATGAAGCCTTCAAACCCCATCTTGGGAGATTTTTGGGTCCTCCCCAAGATCTGTGAAAATGGAAAAATAGTTATCAAAGTTATTTTCTCCCAAGTCTAGCAGTGACAGAACAATGGTCAATATCTTTAAACTGAATGAGAGGGGATTAAAATGTGTTAGGAAGAAATATTTTACAGTGATGAGAGTGGAACAAAACAGCAACTGTTTTTCCAGAGAAGTGGATTTCCCATCCCAGGAATGCTCAAAAATCAGCAACCTGACCCAGTGAAATCCCCTCCCCTCCCCAAGGATGGAATTCCTGTTGTGTGGGTTCT